CTGCTCAGGTTTAGATTATAAACTCTTAGGCAGGAATGGGGCCATTTTCCTAGGTATTTGCATAGCACCTGGGAAAGTGGAGCTCTGATTCCAACTGGTCACAGAGAAGTAGCAGTGTTCAGGATGAATCTTAAATTCCTATAACCACCAAAATGTTTTAACTTCATCATCTTGACCTCCTAAAGCGGTATTTCATGCAATGCACTCTATGTGTATGTCCAGATGAGCGTTGGCGTGTGGTATGCAGCGACACAGACCTGTCTGCAGTGCCACACACTACACTTCAGGCTACACATTTGCAGGGAGGGTTTTTTTTAACCCACAAGATCCCAGGTTCAAAAAAACCCATGCCCCAAAAAAGCAAGGTGGTGCAACCCTGACCAGCCCAAGCCATGTTCTGGCTGCCAGCCAGGCTCCCTGCTGCAGGATCACCATGGCTACAGCTCCCAGAGGCCAGCAATACCCCAGGTAAGGCTGCTGGGACCAGCACAGTTGCTGCCCCCAGCCCCCCCCCCCCCCTCCTCCCCCAGCCTCCCTTACCCCAGAGTGCACTAGGCATGGGCATTCCCTGGGGATAAGTAGCAGCAGCACACATTGTGCCACTGCTGTTTTTCTCCAGGGAAACACATGTTCCCGCTCATAGGGACATGCCCTTTAGCAGCATCCAGATGCACAGGCATGCATGGTTTGTGGCACAACAAATCACATGCCCAGAATGTTAAAATGTGCTCCGTGCTGCAAATTTGCAGTGTGGGGGCAAATTTTGCTACTGAGAAATCCCAGTAGCAAAAAAAAAAGGTGAGAAAAATGTGGCATGGCACACATGACAGAAGTGTGTGGCAGCAGATATGGAGGCTTGGTCCTCTGGGGAGATACTCTGATTGTTGGCATCTCCACTCTTTTTTTTAGTTGTGCCCTGGTTTCTCCAGCATGCTGGGCCAGGAGGAGTGGGGAAAGGGCAGTTTGCCCAAACTGGGGAAATTTGCCCCACATCAAAGCACAAGTGCAGGGGCATGCATTGTGGCAAAACGTAGCAGCAGAAATTTGTGCTTCTACTATTTTTGCCACTGAAAGCACATGTCCCCTGCATGCAGGGATGTACTCTATATGTCCTACGGAAGAATTGCAACTTCTTTACAAGAAGTGAAATAAATATACTTTTTATCTGCTAAAAGTATACAGGAACACTCATTCCCCCTGCCACTGCAGGAACATTTCTTTCAGTACATTATCTATTGCTGCTCTAATTAGAAAAAGCTTTCAACACTTATAAAAAATAAAAAAAGATCATATGTATAAGCAACTACGGGAGCCAGTTGCTCCAATAAGCAGTACCTGTAGATGACCCAAGGTTTAATTTCACTGAAAGATTAGTCTAGATTTTCTTAGCCTTGTCAATGATCAGTGCATGCCAAAAGCCCACACAGCTAACAGAGAGCAGGACATCAGCTTTGTGGGGGTCTGGAAGCTAGAGGTGAATGTCAGACACAAAGAAATCTTGTAACTACAGATCTTGAACTTTAGACCTTATGACCATTAATGCCTGACAACTTCACACTGTGCTGTAATTTGGAAAATGTCAAAAAAAAAGCACAAATTGGGATTCCAGGCAATGGCAAGGGGTGATGAGGTCTGTCCAAAAAGTGACAAACACCATCCCCAGGGCAAATAAAGCTAGCCACATGTAATCATTGCCAGCTGCTTCACAGGCAGAGGCTGGTACCAGCTGTAGGTAGAAGTCACAGGTCTAGCAGTTTGAAAGGACAGCCTTCAAGGAGAACTCTTGTTGAAATAAAAATTACTGGAGGCTACTATAAAACAGCAATAAACCCACAAGAGCATAACCTGACTCTGTCTACTAGATTATACGCGGTATATGTGGGGACAGTTTCATTTTGTATAGAACAAAAAGTGTTCATCACTGCATTTCAAAAATGAATAAACACTTTTTTAAATGGCTAGTAATTCCACCATCTAGAAACGGTCTCTTTTATTCAGTTCTGGCTCAGTTTACAGTTTATGCAAAACTGATTATGTGCTTTATTTAGATATGGTATTTACTTGAATCCAAGACAAGGTTCTTTTCCCCAGTCATCAAGTGGGGAAAAAAAGCCTCACTGCTTAGATTTGAGTACTGGCCCAGGGCCAATGCTTGCCCCAGGCTGGGGTACCTCATGCAGCAGGGGTGGGGCGGGGATGGGGGCTGCATGGGCCGACCCATGGTGTGTGGTTTGCAGGGAAATGTGGGGGAGACCACACAGCCTTCTCTCCTGGCTGCCAGTTCCCCACTGCTTAGTTTCAGCTCCAGTCACTCTGGTCCTGATTCAACCAGGCCCAGAGCTGCTTCTGTTGCTTCTTCCTGGCTGGGCCAGGCCAGGCCAAGCCAGGGCCACTGCTGTCTGCCCCGGAGCTAGAACTGCTGCTCAGAAAGCAATCAGCAGGGTAGTGCAAGGGGTGGAGGGGGATTTGGGATGACAGATGATGGGGGGAGCACGTACAAGCATAGGGGGCATGGGATGAGGGTCCCTTGTCCCCTACCACTGCTTTGCGTGGGTCGAATTTAAAGCAACCGTCCAATAATTAGATTCAAGACATGGAAAAATATAACACATTTATATTTTTTCCATGTCTAGAACTGGCCTAATCATGATTTACATACCCTTAACCAGGCCCAGCTGTTAACTCCCAAGATAAGCAGTTTTGTTTTCCTCTTGGGATATACTTACATTTTCTAAGTATTAACATTTTCTAAAATGATTCTCTGTTTCTGAGGAACCTTATTAGCTTTTTTCCTCCAATTCTGGCTGTGGGCCAGAATCACTCTGTCACATCTCCTGCAAATATGTTTGACAGGGCACACAGTGCTTTCCACTGATTTAGATTAAGTCCATTTGGATCACTTTGAGAGGTAACTGAAACTTTATTTGTGTGACCACTAGAGGGCAGGGGGAGTATAACAACTATCCTGGCTCAGTTTGTCACTGTTGCAATAGCAAGTATTTCACTTTTAACCATTTTTCTTGAGCATTTCAACCTTTACTATTTATGCATATTTTTGTTTGTTCATCCAAAGACAGTGACTCGTGTTTTTCCCCAGTGTCACAACTCCTATAAAGCTTTAGGAGCATTTATTAATTAAATGGTGTTTTCCCTACGGCTAAGAAACTGTCAAAAATAATCATAGGTAAGATCATAAATTTTGTTATTTAACATACAAGATCCTGATAAAAAACAAAATAAAACATTAACTAGTAAGTCAATAATGAAGAAAAAGATTTATTATCCTTTGTATTAGGCAGACAAGGTTCCTTGGATGAATTTGATATCTTTTATACTTTTGTCCCTATTTCCTCTTTTCTCTTGGATGTCTCATCTTCAGTTCATACCCTTATAGCAAATTATGGTTTCATTTGGATTTAAACAAGGAACCTGATGACATCTGCAAGTGAGTAGGCAAAGCTGACATTTCAGGTAGCCTCAGAGCCAATTTACAGAAGTACTTAAAAATCTGACTGTATCAGACACAAAGCAGAACAGGCAATATTCCCCTCAAATATTCTCTAATGATTTGAGCTGAAAATGGGTAAATATTAATGCACTAAAATATCATTATTTGAATTATCTCAGGCAACCCAAAAGTGTCTTCATAGATTACTTGTGTCAGACGCATGAACAGCCCATACTAAGAAATAGAGGTTTGGATCTTAATGATTTGCAATACTATTACACATCTTAATCCTTTTCACTCAAATCCATGATAGAAAGCTTTCTCAGAACTCAGTAACTGAAGAGATCCTGAAGTGTAAACTCAGCAGTTCTGGCAAAGAGAAGATTGAGATGCAAACATTGCTCACTTCAGTTTCCCCTATAGCTGCAGTTATTGAGTTTTACATTCTCCCTGAAGCCAATACTTGGCCTTTTGTTCATGATCCCAAAATTTTAGGAGGCAGAAAATCTAAGACCTCAATCACTGCATATCAGAGGATCTTCATATGAAGTACAAAGTAAACTAACTTAGTTCCTGGACCCTTCTTGCTCCCAGTAGCAGTCTACTTAACATAGCACATAAAGGAATGTTCATATTAAGATGCATCATCTTCCCAGTTAATATCAACAGAAATACAGATACCAAGATTGAAATCCAGTCAACTGCATTTCACTGAATAAATAAATGTATAGTACATCATCCAAAAGATATGTTACTTTTCATTTGCATTTTCAGCTTAAATTCATGCTATAGGATAATCTGCAATTTCAGTCTGCCTGATTCAGGACAAGTGGTTCCAATATCACAATTCAGTTCCTGTTTCCCCTATTACCTGCCTAGGATAGGAAAAAGGGTCAGAACTTTTTTCAGGTATAGTTTTCCGCCACTCGGGCCACCTGCTCAGCATCTCTGGTTGTCATGGCAAAGAAAAGAAAGCCAACACTCCACCTACTCCTTTGTACCATGAAAGGGAGGGGTTGGACAGTGGGTATTCTCTTCTCTGTGCTGTTCCTAATAACTATAGGTAGCAAGTCAGGAATGAAAGAGTGCTATTTTTGTTCTCTTACTCTACTGGACCAGAATGAAGCAAGGTCTTCATATGAGTCCCCTATGACCAATGCTTACAGACAGAACAATCTCAGGAGAAGGATTACATGTGCAAAATCTCAATTCATTAAAAAGCTCTCTCAATACTGTTAGCTGGAAATTAAAAATATTTCCTCTTTAACTTTTATTACAATTATCCTATTAAAATGCATGTGCAAATTTAAAATCTATAAATAGTGGTGCACATGGGAAACAATTCTAGCAGTATAGTAAGGGGAAAGA